TTTTTCCCCTCAGACTTCATGAATTTCTTCTGCAACTCTCTAATGTAGTTATCACAATAACATCTATCATGTTATCTTTCTTTTCTGTCTAATTCTCCTAGTAAGGTCACAACTTCTATGGGACCTTGTCTTTTTAAAAATGTCTATATCCCCTAGGACCAGACACAGTTGTCCCTGGCTAAAGAATTGCTCAATGATTTATTTTCATTCTCAAGTATTAGATTACAGTGTTAAGTATTTATTTACATCACTTATTTGGAATCAATAAAATCATCTCTGTGTGACTTCCATGAGTCTGTGATTGAAACACCTGCAGAAAGCTCTTTGGCAAGAGGTAGCCATTTTCAAACCGTGTGTATCCACAGAAGGACAATACATCTACATACACTAGAAATAGAGAATTATTGGAATTGCTTCCTTGGTAGATTCTGGCTCTGTTTTCTTCTACCTGATAGTTCCTTTAATATAGAAATAGTATTCCTAATCTATTCATCTCAGTGGAGCCATTAAGCTACTAAATAGGCACTACAGTGATAAGGCTGGTCCAAAGAGAAAAAGGAAGTATAACTGATTATTTGCTATTGTACTAACTTACCTTAAGGAATATTAACAATCCCTAATACTTGTTTGGTTCAATAAATAAAATTCAGTGAAAATACTTCATATCTCTCTTTCGTATCTAGATTTTTCTGCCCAAAGTAGGTTATTCCAAGAGATATAGTAGTCCCATTGAAAGGTTTTTTTAGATACTAACAGTTTTGTAACTGAAAACTATATTGAGCAATTTGCGAACACTGGACAGAGTATGCAGATAACTCTTAGTTCTATATCAAATTACTGGACCATGGAAGATTCAGCTATGAATGGGGAGAGAGAGAGACAGAGAGACAGAGAAAGATAGAGACAGAGAGAGAAGAGAAAAATGGAAGGGAAGAAGAGAAGGAAAGGTAGTTGAAAAAGGATGAGGAGAAGCCCATATTTCTATCCTCTTTTCCAAAGACTAAAATTGTGGGGAAATTATGACTGTGAAAAAAAAATTAGAATCAGATTTAGAAATGATTCTTCTGTATCATCTTTTTAAATTTTATGTTTTACTGATACATTTTATTTGTTAATCACCTTCAATTTCAAATATTTTACTTTCTTTTCCCTACCCAGCCAGTCATCCTAATCAATCAAAGAAGCAAACGAGGTGGGGAAAGCAGCTCAGAAAAATTAAGCAATACATCAACTAATTATGACAATATATGTATGCATTGTTCCACATCCATTGCCACTACTTCTACGAAAAAAGGGAGATGAGTTTTTTTCCTTCTTTGGAGACAAGCTTGGCCATTTTTATTTCATAATGTTTGGTTTCAATTTGTTATTGTTGATCTTATATTTTCAGAAGAGTATATATTTTTCTTGGTTCTGCTTACTTTACTCTATATAAATTCACAGAGATCTTCCCATGACTCTCTGAATAAGGCACAATCAGATTTCATTACCTCCACGTACTAGAATTTGTTCAGCCATTCTCCAATTGATGAACATTAATTCTGTCTTCAGCTTTTCACTACCTTAAATAGTGCTGCTGTGAATATTTTATTCCACAAGGACCATTTTTCCCTGTCTTCAATCTCCTTGGAGTAAATACTTAGAGGCAGGAACCCTCAAAGGTTGTTTAATCTAACCTGTAGCTAATGCTTGAATTACCTTTATAATCCCCACAAACAGTCAGGTTTTTCACGGTGGCAAATACAAAGGCATATTAAATATTTGTAGTCTTTCTATGTTAGTATCTACAAATAACAGGCAACTTAGAAACATTTAGCAATAATTTCTTTCCTGCCCTCCTATTTCCTGATGATAACACAAAACAAGAAGCTTGGTTGGGGCAGCTAAGTGATGCAGTGGATTGAGGTCTGGCCTTGGAGTCAGGAGGACCTGAGTTCAAATCCAGCCTCAGACACTTGACACTTAACTAGCTGTGTGACCCTGGGCAAGTCACTTAACCCTGACTTCCTCGCCAAAAAGCACAAAACAAAACAAAACAAGAAGGTTGAGAGTTATAGCAAGACAGATTTAAGTTCAATAAAAGGAAGAAGAACCTAATAAGTAGAATTTTTATTTTATTTTATTTTTTTAGGCAATCAGAGTTAAATGACTGGCCCAGGGTTACACAGCTAGCAAGTATCTGAAGTAAGATTTGAGCTCAGGTCTCTACCACACCACTTAGCTATAGCTATCCCTATAAGTGGACTATTAAAACTAAGTAGAGGAAGGATCCCTCCTAACATGGGAAATTACCTATCATCTAATGTATTTAAGCAAAGACTAAATGACCTTTAATAGAAGAAATTCTTCCATTGGGCAAGGGATTAGACTTAATTCCTTCCATTTCTATGATTCAGACCTCATGCAAAATATATTAGTTCCAGTTTAAAGTAGTGAAATATTCATTCATTCATGCCCACTCCCCCTCGTTGGATTACATCCATGCCCTCTATGACCATGTGTATCCTCCAAGACTGTGTCCTATTATTTTTCCTTTCCTTTCTCTATAATCTCTCATCATTCCATTAGCTTCTGGAGGTTCAATTATCTCTATGTGGATGATTTTTAATGATTTCCAGATTTTATGCATATAATCTATCTATCTATCTATCTATCTATCTATCTATATCTCACATATGAACATTTATATCATGTTTGATAATAGATCTTTCTCTTTCATTTGTATCTGTCATTATTCTCTTTCCTCTGAAGTGTCTTTCCTTCCTAACTTCCTATTTCCATCAAGGTTACCATGCCTTTGTATTTCTTGAGGTTTGTAACCTAGGTCATAGAGTTTATGGGCCCATATTATGAAAGACTTTATAAGCTAACCAATTTATAGTTGTTTACTAGGGGCAATTGGGAGCCCATGGAGATTATTGAGTAGAGGAGCAGCTAGGTGGTACAATGGATAGAGCACCAGCCGTGAAGTCAGGAGGACCTGAGTTCAAATCTGGCTTCAGACCAAACACTTGACACTTACTAGCTGTGTGACCCTGGGCAAGTCACTTAACCCCAATTGCCTTAAAAAAAATCAAGCAAGATCATTGAGTAGAGAAGGGGAATGGTGAGATATGATCTTAGGAAAATCACTTTGTCAATACTGTGTAGAATGTTTTGGAATTTGAAGAGAATTGAGGTAGGGAGACAAAATCAGAAGGCCACAAGACCAATATAGGTGAAAGTTGATAAAGAAGCTGGATTAGGATGGTGGCTGTCTGACTACAGGAAAGAGATGGTTTGGGAGATATGTTGTCGAAGCAGAAATGGCAAGCTTTGGGATGGAAGTGACCAGTTAGATAATTTTTCATAAATTGTGAATTAGATAAATCTGATTAAAGATGACTTTCCCATATTGAACATGGAGGATGTGAGGGAATTTATACATTTGTCATCTTCTATGCTAATACAAAAAAGACAAAGAACTTCTCAATTTTATACTCTCTGGGAAGTGCGTAATTTCCTCTGAGTGGAAGAGACATATAAGGGAGGAAGGGAGGGAAAGAGATCTCTGTTTTCCTGGAGTATAGAAATGAGATATTGTCCCTAGATCCATACCTAAGTCATTCATGAGAATGGTTAACAGGGGAAGAGTTTTGATATTGTGATATTGTGGCCAAGGAGACCTCAGGTTCACTTGGTCTTACACATAATTACCTGATGAACTCTACCATGTTTCTGTGTGTGTGTGTGTGTGTGTGTGTGTGTGTGTGTGTGTGTGTGTGTGTGTGTGTGTGTGTGTGTGTGTGTTTATGGAGGAAATGGGGATTAAGTGACTTGCCCAGGGTCACACAGCTAGCTAGTAGGTATTTGAGGCCAGATTTGAACTCGGGTCCTTCTAACTCCAGGGCTGGTGCTCTATACACTGCACCACCTAGCTGCCCCCGTACCCAACATGTTTTTTTAATGATAATTTTAATAATTAATTTACAATCTTGGAGTTAGGGAAATGTTATGCAGTTTGAAAAATTAAGAGTCATTTTATTCTTTCCCAGTATTTTTTTTTATATTAAGTCTCATTTGTCTCTCATTTTTTTTCACATCTGGAGCAGGTTACACAAAACGTGGCTGATATAAGGAACAGGAGGAGAGCCATTAGATAAACTTTTAAAAATATTATTTTCTTTTCCGATTTCGAGGAACAGACCAGCACCAAGGGATGCCAAGCAGCCCCATAAATGAAGATGGTGTAGATTTCATCGGATGGTGGCAGCTGGGTCAGGGTTAGGGAGAGCACTCAGTTTTTAACTAACTTCTTGTAGAGTGCTAAGATCGATTAGCTCTTTGCTGCTGAAGTGTTACCAGTACCTCCTAGAGCTAGCTATCCTGGGCCAAAGCACTCATGTCCCTACCTAGGTATAGCTCTGTTTCAAAATGCTTTTCTTCTTATGCTTATAACAGCAAAGCCCTCAGCTTTGTTTATAATATCATAGTTACTTTTTTTTTAACCCCCATTTGGATTCCAGATAGGTTGCTTTGAGATTTCAGAAAACCTTAGCCATTCTGAAATGCATTTTATATCTCTAGAAGAAAAACTTGACCCTATTTTGTGCTGATTCCTGGGAGGATGAATACAAGATCCTAGTTCCAATGCACTCTATTATTTTAAATGTCTTTTAAAGTATCTCTCACCTATAAACTTTCTTTTGGAGTGAATTTTCTTTTCATCACCACAGATATTCTTTCAGGGACAAAGGAATAAGAGACATTTCTTCTATATAAAGAAAATCTGGTTAAATGTGCAAGCTTAATACAGTGCTTGAAAAACATTACACCTACAGGCCTTATTAATCTTACACCCATGGGTCTGATTTTTCTTTCCTAAAAACTCAACTGAAATGTCCAAGTAATATTTAATTCTTTCTCATCTATGCGTATGGCTGCTCTTAGACTCTGATCAAAGCTTTCAATAGCAGAGATCACTCTCTCTTTATTTATTTATTTTCCTTTTTCTTTTACAGTTCATTGCTTTCGCTTCTTTATTCTTTATCCTGGTTTCAATCACAACCTTTTGCCTGGAGACCCATGAGGCTTTCAATACCATTATAAACAAGACAGAACCAGTCATCAATGGCACAAAAGTTGTTCTGCAGTATGAAATAGAAACGGATCCCGCTCTGACGTATGTAGAAGGTGTGTGTGTGGTGTGGTTTACATTTGAATTTTTAGTCCGTATTGTTTTTTCCCCAAATAAACTTGAGTTCATCAAAAATCTCTTGAACATCATTGACTTTGTGGCCATCCTACCTTTCTACTTGGAAGTGGGACTCAGTGGGCTCTCATCCAAAGCTGCTAAAGATGTCCTCGGCTTCCTCAGGGTGGTGAGATTTGTCAGGATTCTGAGAATCTTTAAGCTCACCCGCCATTTTGTAGGGCTGAGGGTGCTTGGACATACTCTTCGAGCAAGTACTAATGAATTTTTGCTGCTGATAATCTTCCTGGCCCTAGGCGTTTTGATATTTGCCACCATGATCTACTATGCTGAGAGAGTAGGGGCTCAGCCTAACGACCCTTCAGCTAGTGAGCACACGCAGTTTAAAAATATCCCCATTGGGTTCTGGTGGGCTGTAGTGACCATGACCACTCTCGGTTATGGGGATATGTACCCACAGACTTGGTCAGGGATGTTAGTGGGGGCTCTGTGTGCTCTGGCTGGAGTGCTGACCATAGCCATGCCTGTGCCTGTCATTGTCAACAATTTTGGAATGTACTACTCTTTGGCAATGGCAAAGCAGAAACTTCCAAGGAAGCGAAAGAAGCACATCCCTCCAGCTCCTCAGGCAAGCTCTCCTACGTTTTGCAAGATGGACTTGAACATGGCCTGCAATAGCACACAGGGAGATCCGTGCCTGGGCAAAGACAATCTATTGCTGGACCATACCCGATCAGGTAAGACACAACACCAAATGCATGCCTCCTCAAGCCTTCCAGAACAGTATGTTCTGTAGGCATAAGACAAGAGCCTCATTTTCTGCAAATACAACCCAGTTCTCGGTCCTCTCTCCTTACTACTGTTCCTGAATGTGCTAGGCTTCTGAGAGAGGCAACGTTGAAGCCTTCTTAAGCGAATACTAACTAGACTTGCGCATAGCTGGCCTATACAGTTTTCTTGCTTCAGTGCGAATGCTTATTGCTGATGGTGCCAACCTTTTCTTTTGCCTGTCTCTCCGTCGGTCTTGTGCCAATGTTTCTTTGTGTTCTTGCACGATGTGATGGTATGAATATCTTGCCATGTTCCTCATTGTTAACCTCCATGCCATTTTGCTTGGTGTGTTTGTCTCTTGTGTCAGCTTTACCTCAGTCACTCGGTGGCATACATTATAAAAAAAGTTACACCAAGCCATCGTTTAAAAGCAATGGATGCTTACACTGTAGAGGCCTGAATCCCAAAGAAGTCATATGGAAAGTTGCACTCTAGACCACTAACCCTGTAGCATTTGTATGACTAGCTTAAAATGTACATCATCCTGCAGTTAAGGGCAAGCATCTCATAATAATTTTAAAAATTTGTATTTGTTTTAATTCCCTTATTAGGGTTTTCTTTTCTTTTTTTTTTAACTTACTACCCATTTAGACTGTTTCCCTCCCCTTTCAAAGCTGACTATAAATGATTTGTGAATGATTTACTATTCTGGACCATCTGTACTGCTTTCCCCCTTTATTTTTTGGAAGGAAGACAGAAGGATATAGCCCCATTATTTTATTCACATAGAGAATCTAGTGGCTGTGGAAACTCACTCTACCAATGTAGATGAGCAACTCACCACTGCCTTTCAGTTTTGTACTTTTACCTGTGGCACTGAGAGGTTAAATTAGAAGCAGGAATTTAAATGATATCTTCTTGACTCTAAGACTGATCATCTGTCAACTGTACCAATGGTCCTTAAAGTGTGGTCTGGGGACCACTCAGGGTCCCTGAGACCCTTTCAGGGGGTCTATAATGTCAAAACTATTTTTATAATCTTGCTAAAATATTGATAGATGTAACCCAAGTAAACAAAAATTGTTGGGGGGAGGGGTTCTAAATAGCTTTTAAGAGTATAAAGGGGTCTTGAGACTAAAAAGTTTGAGAATCACTGGACTGTCATTCTGCCTTTCATTCTCCCTCCATTGATGTACATAACTGAGAGTCAACCAACAATATGTTGAAATACAGTTTATTGAGATGGTAGCCTATAGGTTTATCTGTAGCTATTCATTTCTTAGCCTGGATGAAATATTTTGGAGGTTAAGTTAGTTAGCCTACCAAAGATTTTCAATCTTATAATATTTTTCCAAATAGATCACTTAAAACCCTTTCTCATGCAAAGTGAATTAAGATGATCCCATATAAACCATTAGTCTTAATTCAGAAATTCAATAAATCAAGCTAATGAAGAAAAAAAAATCAAGTGCTTTTTAGTGGCCATGAATTTACTTGTGAGCACCCAGGCACTTACATAGGACTGATGGAAAATAAGGACATATATACACATATAAATATATACATACACACACATTTATGTGTGTTTGTATATAGATTCATCCTGGTACCGAATAGCTGCTTGAAGATTTGATCGATTGAATATCAATAGCTCTGAACATTCTTTCTAAATAGATATCTGAAAACAAGACTGTTCAAATGCTGGTAGGAATTGGGGCTTGTAGTTCAAATGATAGTTCTTATAGGATAGTTCTCAGGAAATACCTCCAAGATGTTCTCATGAAAGGGAATAGAAAAGAAGCCATGCACTCATGAAAACAGAGCTAGTAAACAGAGCTTGTGTGCACGCTGGCAAAGCCTAGGAGTCCTTGAGAATTTCATGGAAATCAATAAATCACTACTTCGAGGACATCTTGAGAAGGTAATCTTTTCCTGTTGATTTCCTTGGATAGCTCTGTTTTAGGGCTTTAATACTGAGCATCCAGCTTTTCTGCTCAATGAGACACTGTGAAAAACTTTAACTGTAGGAAAACAATAAGGTGTTAGTGGAGTCCTAGCCCAAATATTTACATTACATCCCTTCCCTAAACAGGCAATCCTTTCCAATGTATTTTCATTTACATTGAAGTCATTTTTCTTCACACAATGAACATCGCCACTGTACAACATGTCAAAAAGGAGATTGTCAGCATGGTCATAATCTATTTCCTGAAATCTGTTTCCTATTAGACTAAATCTCCAAAAGGAACAGAGCTATGTCCCAAGAGGATCCTCTCCCTTTCCCAATTTAATAATGTTTACCTTTTGCCCTATTTAGATGATTATGACTAGAGATGAATATTCATTTCCTTTTTGTATCATGAATTGATTACTGTGTTTTGTATTGAGTGACTGGAATATCTGGCAATCAGTGTAAACCTCTATGTGCTGTGTCATTTCTTCATTCATTACTGTCTGTAAATGGGCATGATGCTTTGACCAGTGTTATCAGGTGAAGACAGTGCAGGAAGTGAGCAGCCATTGTCACCCCCTGAAAGGCTTCCAATGAGACGCTCTAGTACCAGAGACAAAAACAGAAGAGGGGGAGCCTGTTTCCTACTGACCACAGGTGATTACACATGTGCAACTGATGGAGGGATCAGGAAAGGTAGGAATGAATTTTATCAGCTTCTGGAGGGTCATTCACCAGTTAAATGCTGAAAAAAGAAATGAAGTGGAAATGGATTGCTTTTGAGGAGAGACTGCATCTAGTTCAATGTACTTTTTTCCCCCTTTGATCATCTTCATTGTTTTTTCCTTGCCAAAAACATAATAATTATTACTATTATTATTTGCAAATCTGCTTGGTGTTACATTTGAGAGTCATTTCGCTCTTTTTCTTTTTAGACTTCTTTCATTTTTTATTTATTTGTTTGTTTGTTTGTTTGTTTGTTTAATCCTCTCTCTTATGAGCAGGATTATAATGCAGGGGTGTGCTGGCAAATGTTTAACAAGTGGCACTCCAGGAAAAAAAACAAAAACAACAACAACAAAAAAAAATACAAGAAGGATGACACACTTTTAAGTTTAATCTGCATTATTATTTACATTTTCTCCATCACTTTCTTAAGTTGAAAATAAATGAAGTTTAATTTGTAACATTTAATGATTTCTGAGGTATAAATTCTCATACAAGACATTTAACAAACAGCTCTCCGAGCTGGTACAAGCTAGCTTCAGCACACCCCTGAAACTAAAACTTTTTTTTATCACTCATTATTTCTTTAATGTGATCACTTCAGAAGTCTTAAAAATTTACTAGAATTTTCTGATGACAATATCTATTTAATTTAATGTAGTGTATCTTTAAATGATAATTGAAGGCCATTGAGCATTTTTAAAAATGGCTGAACATTTTCAAAGAATCAAAATAGTTAAGTAGGCTCCAATAAACTTGTGCAGCTTCTGCCTCTGGTTTACACGAGAATCACAAGTTTTATGTAATGAGACAAAGACTACTTTGAATAATATATCTAAGCACTCGAAGAGTGATTCTATATACTTTATCAAGTAGAATGTTCTCAAATGAAACAGTAGAAAATTTTCCATTTCCTTATCAACTAGGAACTATTCTTGAAAACACCTTTTTGATATCATCACACATTATCATCTATGGATCTATGCCATTTCTCCTGCTAGATCAAAATGAAAACAACAACAAGAGTTTGAATTTCCCTTATAACAGACATTTCTATAAGAGAGGGAGACTATGTGAATAGTTTAATTCAACTCCATCTCACATTTCTTTCAACTATGACTTAGCTCTGCCTCTGCTTATGACTATTTTTAGAAGTGTCTGACTCTTCCAAACATCAGTATAATTGTCCTTTTTTTTCCTTTTTAAATATATCTTTGAGTCTGCAAATACAGATCAGCATTTCTACTCTACTTTTGCCAAAATCTTGGTCTATACGTCATATACACCATACTATTACAGCTTCAATTTTAATTCTTCTATTTGTGCATCTACATCAATGTGTATACATGTACATGTGTACCTTAAATATCTGCATGCATGTATATGCATTTGGACGTGTTTTATTTTTAAGAGAAAAAATTATCTGTTTATAGGTTGAACATTTTTCTGTGACATTAAAAGAATAGGAAAGAAAATTAATGGTATCTTGCAAGAAATTACTAAACAATTGATTAATTAATATTAAAGTGATTAATAATAATTAATATTAAATTGATTTCTCTAAGAAAAAAAGCTGCACGATATCATTATCTTTTAAAATAATTACATTCATATAGTCATTTCAGGTTCCTATATTTATATGTATTTTTCTTTATTTCTCTAAAGACTTGCTCCAGATTATCCTCCATATTCCCTCCTTGCCCATTCTTTTTTCATTTCTCATTACACAGTCTATATTCTTCTTACTATTGCTTCTAGTTGCCCAGTCTTGGCCTATCTCTTTGTCTCCTTACTGTAGAGTCTTATTTTGAAGAAGAGAAGCTTTTCTCTAATTTCTGGAATGCAGGATATGTTTTTGTTTTATTTTATCCCCCCAGATCTCCCTTTGATGTCTCTGCATCTTAATATGATGTGAAATACATTTAATAATTATTCTAGTAACCTCTAATTATGTTACTATTTAACACTTAAACATTATGATTTATTTATCTGAGAATTTTGAGATATTATATATGTATATATATAGTATATATATATGTGTGTGTATGTATATATATGTATATATATATATGCATATATATATATATATATATATATATATCTTAAATTTTAATATTTTAAATTGCATTTGAGCCATACAGTAATACAGATTTAGGAGGTTTTCTCTATCTTTTTCTTTCTCTTTTTTTTCTTTCTCACAGTCTTTCTTTTTCTCTGCCTGTCATTTTGTCTCTGTCTCCATCTCTTCTTACTATCTGTCTCTCTGCTTAGTTTCTGTCTTGCTCTGTCTCTCTTTGTCTCTTTCTATCTCTCTGTTCCTATATCTCTGTCTCTCAGTCTCTCTGACCCTGTCTCTCTGCCTCTGTCTCTGTCTGCTCAGTCTTTCTTATTCTTTCTCTATCTCTCTATCTGTCTCTCAAAAACCTTCTTTTAATACATATACCAAAGTTTACATGTAAAAAGATTTCACTTTAGTTTTTCTTTCTTATACTAGAATATCCAAAATTCTCTAATCATAAAATGAAATACTGGATGTGGGTGTTTTGCAAAGCCCAAAAAATGCAAGTCATTATTATTATTCACTTTGAAAGTAGAAAGCTACATGCATAAGACATTGAAGGATGCATTCCATACATGTAGCATTTCTGTGTCCATATTTCCCCCTGAATTATATTTCTCTTCCTAAGTGAAACTATCATTTGGAAATCTGATCTCCATCTTTTTACTTATCACCTTAATTGATGAGTTTCCTATCCATGAAATAATAGAAAGTGCAATAAATAAAGTGACAGAGGGTCCTGGATTCAAATTCTGATTCTACCACATGACTACCTGTGTTACCTTAGGCAAGTCAGTGAGCCTATCATGGCCTCATTTTCCAGAGGGGGTTGGAATACATGACCAAAAAAGTTCCTTCTAGCTCTGAATCTATGAGGTTATGATTCTTTTAAAATTCATATTTCACTTTATATTGATTTGCTCCCTAAGCTTAGTAACATCTACTTTCTTCTCTTAGACTCTTCAGTGCATTATCCTCTCCTCATCTTAATATGGGTCCTTTCTTCCCTCTCTCCCTCCCCTCCTCTTCTTCCCTCCCTTACCTTTTCCCGTCTTCCCCCTTCTTTTATTCTATACTTTCCTTCCTTCTTCTCTCTCTCCCTTCCTCCTTCCTTCCTTTACTTCTTTTCTTCCTCCCTTCCATCCCTTTTTCCCTCCTTCCCTTCTTTCCTCCCTTCCTTCCTTCCTTCCTTCCTGTCTTTCCTCTTTCTTTCCCTTCTTTGTTCCCTCTTTCTTTTCTTCCTTCCTTCCCTCCTCTCTTCTCCCCTGTCTCCTCCTTCCCTCTCCTTTATTCTTCCTTCCTTCCTCCCTCCCTCCCTTCATCTTTCCCTTCCTTTTTCTTCTTTCTATTTATATATTTTTAATTAGCCATAATATCTAATAATCATTTCCTTTTCTCTTTTTCTCTCACATTTCAAATTGGTTTCTATTGTTTGAATTTAACAAGCAGAAACCTAGCTCTCTCTCCCTATCCGCAATTTGAATGAAAAGCTTCATCATTGCATTTTTGAGGTGTTCTTTTCTTGTCATTTCAAACATTAACATAAGTATACCCCATTTTAAGAAACCCTGATATAGAAAAATGTGAACTTGCTAACACATGGAGTCACCTCATTCTGTTTTAAATAATGAGGTCCTCCCTTTCATTAAATATATGTGGCTATTTATGCAGCAGTTTTAAGGAAGACATATTGTATAGATAAAGGCATATTTCTATGTAATGAGTAATGGTTTTCTAAAATTTAGCTTGATTAAACAAATGTCACTGAGTATTAAATATTCAAGCTAAGATTTAGGAGGAAGGTGAAATTTCTTAGTCTTACAAAACCTCAGTTCACCTCAGGCCTGTTATTGCATATGCTCAGAAACATAATTTTTTTAATCTAATTCTCAGAGGAAATTATTGTAGGCAAAATTGCTTGTTAAAGTTCCTTATCCAAAATAAGGCCTATTGAAATTGAATGAAACATATGTGGTTCAGATGCATTGTGGAAAACATAAGTTTCTTAATTAATTAAATATTTGCTTTGCAATGATTGAAAACCTTGAGTGAATGATAATGAAATTAATTCAAATGAAATCATTTGTAGAATGAACTGATAACTCTTTTATTAGTAATCCTATTACAGAGGAATAATTATGATTGAGAATAGCACATCAGTATTTTAGCTTATTATGGACAGGTTCTCCTGAGTAAAACTGTTGCTTTCTAGGACAGTCCCCACATTATCATGTGGATAGACTATGGAAGTTTATGTAACATTGTATGAGACAAAAATGTTGTAAATATAAAAAGTTATGATTTATACAACTTTCCAGCATGTTTTCTTATTTAATATTATAAATTAACCTTGGGAGACAAGAAAGCTGTTTCAGTGTTTTTTTTTTTAGTGAAATGTACTGAAGTTATAAGAATGATAAGAACCCCTCAGTCCATATTCAGTTCCTGAATAGAGAACAAAGACTAGTTTCTGAGTCAGAGAAGGTTAACAGGAAGGAAGACATACCTACCATACACAGATATGGAAATCAAGAGCTACACCTATAGTGTTAATTGCTTCTAATGGCATTCTTAAAGGATTAAAACAAATCACAAAACTGAAAACTTTCAAAGTTGGAGAGGACCTCGATAGGACTTTTGGTCAAATTTATGGGGTCTTTTAAGTTTAAAAAAAAGACATTTTGACAACAACATTTCACAGTTGGGTTCCTTTTTAATTCTCCATATTTTATTCTATTCATTTACATATATATATGTATATATACATATATACACACATACATTTTATATATATATATATATATATATATATATATATATATATATATATATATATATATATACATACATATACATACACACACAAACACTTTTTTTTTCTGTGAAGAGCTCCCTAGGTGTCACCTATCTGTCAGAAGTTTCAATGACACACAGAATGGTTAAGAATTCCTGCTATGGGGACTTATCCAGAGTCTGTTTGAAAATCTCCAATGAGAGGGAGACCCTTCTAGCAAGTTAGCCCATTCCACTTATGGGAAGCTGTAAGTGGTAGGAAGAGGAGAACATCATGTATCAGTCTTTCAGTCACAGAGATGGAATGTTGATGGTTAAAAATGAGCTCATGTTACCCTTCTGTAATTCTTGAAGAAAATCGACCACTTGGTCATTTATAAGCAGAACTGAAAGCCAAGTCCCCTCCAATGTTTAACTCAGAGGAGCTGTGATCAAGCATTTTCAGCAAAATTATTTACTGTGTTCCCTATCACAAGCTGATGAATTTGAAAGTGCTAAAGCTACTTAAAATTTAATTATTATTTTCAGGGACACATGATTGGACCTCTAATTTAATTATTGTGTATATATGTGTGTGTATACACATATACATATATGTATGCATACATGCATATATATATATATATATATATACATATATATATATATATATATATCTCCAAGTGTGGGAACTCCTTCCACTACTGCAGATAGACAGTTCATCTACAATTTAGAATTGCTTGGGGGAAATTGAGAGGTTAAGTTATTTGTCATCATTATATAGCTGATATGGGGCTAGTTAGTCTCCTGTCTACCATGCCAAGCAGCTTCTCAAATGGTTATTCATTATTATTTTATTATTAGCAATGATTATACATTGTTCTTCCCCTAGCAGTGGCTTCTGCCTTGAATGAGGCCCCTAGTTTAAATGGTTTAACTGAAGTGTAGCAGACATTATCAAGGATGACACCTTTCAGGAGTCTAAGGATACCAAAAGGAATCACAGGATATTTGATATCTGCATATTGGATTTATGGAGAATTTTGTAGAATGGCAAATTGCCTAAAGTATTTCCCAGCACGTACACCTTTAAGTATCCACTAGGGAATTTCATCTTCCTTCTCCACCAGCATTTTTTCTTAAATAGAGGTAGTTAGAACACACCCTTCCACTGGCAAACTTGATCCAAGTGGTTAGGAGAGAGAGAGAGAGAGAGAAAGAGAGAGAGAGAGAGAGAGAGAGACAGACAGACAGACAGACAGACAGACAGTGAGTTGTCCTTGATGTCAAGGAGCCATCCTCTGACTTAAACGAAATCCTGCCCTCCACATCTCCAATCTGCTTCTCTCTTCCCACTCTCTACCATGCCTCTTTATTTCCGTGAAGTGGATGAATGTTGACAAAAGTCACTTTTGACAGGCAAGAAGACTGTATCAGTTGGTTAGTGAAATATACTGGAGAGCCAGAGACAATGATAAGGAACCTTTTATTCCACAAACTCCCTATACTTGAATAGAAAATAAAAATCATTTTTTGAAGCAGGGGAGGTTGACATTAAGGGGGGAAAAGCTAGATCTCAATTAGATTCCTTATAAATTTTGATGCTAATCTGTAGACAGTACACCACTAAATGCAGCTTTATTTCATTAGAAAGAGCAGTTTGGTTTAACATATTTTTTTTTTTGGAGGGAGGAGGTATGCGCAAACATTTTTCTTTATGTTCCCTGTATAATGACATCGAATGCTATTATTTAACATTCAAAATACATCATCCTTTCTAATTTCTGACACTTGGAGATTAAATATTTGGGTTAAGTGTTCTCAGTTTCCTGTTTACATTTTCTTTACAATCTTGCCACGGAGGTTAGTGCATAAACAAAAAAACTATGTTAAGTGAATGATTGAAGTATGAAATGAGTCTAGAAATAGCCTATTGTTTTTCTGCATTTCTTCCCATAGAAAACGTCCTTAAAGTAACCAACATTTTGATCCAGTGTGTAGCTTTTTAAAAATTATGTTTGCATAGTCTTAAGAGAACTTTGAATGCCCCATGCACCAAAGTTAAATCAATACTAGAGATGGTCTGAGGAAAGATCACTTTTGGACTACATTTTCAGTACAATTGGGATGGCTTGAGTTAATTGCATTTGAGTGGCAGCTAGAGGGAACTTCACTTTTTTTAAAGTTACAAATTTCCTCAATATGGAATTCTTTGTAAACAAGTCTTCTTGGAGTTCAAAATAGTGCTTTTGATTACTCTGTTCTGTATTGTTTGTCTGTGTCTGTTTTCTGGTTGAATTCAACTGATGTCTGTGCATTCTTTCATAAAAGGATATGAAAAATCCAGAAGTTTAAACAACATAGCGGGCTTGGCAGGCAATGCTCTGAGACTCTCTCCAGTTACATCACCTTACAGCTCACCTTGTCCTCTGAGACGGTCTCGATCTCCCATCCCATCCATCTTGTAAACCAAACTGCACCAGGAGGCCAAATTGCATCAGTTCAAGTACTGTTCACCACATAATGGAAATAATTAAATGTAGCATTGCTATAGGCTCCATTAATACAATAGAAATCCTGCATGATACTACTATTATCAGAAGTCAGAAATGCCACTTGGGTAGCTAATGAGTCCCAGCTTGACTCTACAGATTACCTAAAGTAACGCTTCTCTTCCTTCTCTGCACTAGTTTTCTGGCAATTGTTTCCTGGCAATAAAGAGACAGATAGTATCAGATATTGGCCAGTATATTCAATAAAATAAGCATATTTTCAGGGAGATCTATTTAAACCAATGTGCTTCCAAATGACTACCACTCCATTGGACCTACCTTCATTTCTTGTGATGCTCTAATTCATTCAGAAGATGTCTGGAACACTGTCTTGATTGCACAAATTATCAATATGACTTTGGTCAAATCATTTGCATGGACCATCCTGTCTCCATCACCTGAAAGCAGTGTTATAGTATATGAAAATCCTGGGTGGCTCTGGATGCTTTTTTTAAAATTTTTTGTTTCTTCCACATTGAACCATCCTGCTGATGCAAAAGCAATGGGCAATGGTTCGCATGTATAATTGTGGGGTGGGGGAGGGAGGAGGGAAATGGAAGGGCCAGGGAGGAGGGAAGGGTTTCTCCTTTCTTTTTCTAATCCTTTGAAAGAAAAAAATCTATTTTAAATCGTTTATTTTTTTAAATTGCTTTTTATCTTCTAAAATGCTATAATGGAGTTCTGAATGTCTGGTTATTTGCACACAGATAACTGCAAAGAGGTTGTCATTACTGGTTACACGCAAGCAGAGGCCAGATCTCTAACTTAATGACTTGGGGAAGGCACAAAACATGAGAGAAAGGTAAATGCCAGCCAGGCTTGCATTTTTTTGATTTTTTTTTTAGCCAGGAAAGCCTACTTGGTACCATAATCATCTTTTCCCCTATCCTTTCAACATTTTTGAAAGAGGCCTAAGGCCAAGTCAACCCAAAGGACTTCTGCTCCTTTTTTAGGGGAGGGGAATGGGGGTGGGTGCAAATGTAGAAGGGCGGAGGTCTTTTAAAAGAATTTCTTTGACCAGCCTTAAATCTGTGACCTACTAGGTCCATAAGAATTTCAGGCAGTGTGTTTTGCAGGTGCTTCATGTCCTGTATGTTGTTTCTGTCTGTCTGTCAAACTACCTGTCTTAATTGTAAACTTCATCTGTCTCCATAAAAGCACAGAGATGCCTTAGGGGGAAAAAAGGCTTCCATCGTTTAGTCCCAGATTTTCTCCTTTCCCCCTATTCAGTCCAGCCACCATTCTTCATATGCAAGTTAATAATGTCCTTTAGACCACCTACCATACACTATGATTGGTTTTGATATGCAGGGTTTAAGTAGAGGTTTTTGTTTTTGTTTTTTAAACTTTTTGCACTCGGTTGCCGGCTGGAATGTCAGTTCTACTACCTAGCAACCAGCTGTCATCACTACACTCCAACTAAGCCTCCGAGGAATCAGATTTAGTCTGTGAGGAATAGAATCTGTTTACCAATCACTATGAATGAAATAGCAATATCAGACCTGGTGTTTAAGGATGATGGGGTGGGGAGGCAATGTAAAAAAAATAAAAAGAGTAAATAATTCCTTTTGAGGCAGAAAATATCCCTGTCATGGTTGAATAATACCTGCTTCTCGTATGTTTATTTTTGTTAGGAAAACAATGACCACTTTTCTTGTTGACCATGTAACATGTATTAATTAAATTGGTATGTGTGAGCCCTACAGCATGAACTGCATGTCAGAATCCTTCTACAAAAGTGTATTTATCTAAACAGATATTTCTGATATTTAGAGATGTACATTGATGAATCTTGCTCATGTCACCTGTAAACAGATGTAAGTCTCAACAGCTTTCTAGCAAAGGAATTAATACACTGTCTGGTGCTACTGTTACTGACTACAGTGTTGCCCAGACTTTTTCATGGATTTTTGACTGCTGACAAGGGATAATGGAATTTAGCCATATCAAGGACTATACTGGAAAGAGACTACTCCTGCTGCTGAATGGGCCCTGATAAGCATGCCATGCCTTGACGAGGTCCCAGCATCTTCACTTGGATTTAAAGATGACTAAAGGACCATGGACTGAACTTGGTGCTCCCAGTGTGAGAGGGCCACCAGTGGACTAGCCAGTGTTGATTAACCCATTGTAAATAAATTAAAAAAAAACACACATTGTGCATGGGATGTCAGCTTTGGTCATCTCACATCAAGAGTAGCTGAATCTGTGGTCATTGATGGCCTCTTAGGCCTCTTGCAAAGGCCCAAGCCTCTATGTATTTCCGCATGGGCCTCTCCCCACCCAGTAGGTTGTGCTGCGAATCAAAGACACATGCAGTGATCTTAATTTCATGTATATATGTCTTAATTTCCCACACCCTTACTATATTTTTTTGGTAAAAGATTGGTTCTTAAACATTGTCCGTATTGTTTTGTTGGAAGCCATTGACATGATTATATTAATTCTTTTATAATTTCTAGTGTCTGTGAAAACATGTGTATTTTATTTTTCATTTATTTGAGAAACCAACTGTTATGGCTGGAAAAAATGTCACTAACTTTGTTCATAGTATAAGTCTTTTTCATTGTTACCTCAAGAATATAAATATGATGAAAAATAAAATTCTGGCAAGTGAGAATATTTTTTTATTACAATAATCATGGAGAAACATCAGTAAATAGTGAAATATGTAATCAAATTATATCTTAAAATGTATATTTTGCATAAGAGAGGTATTCTTTGATGAATTATTCTTTGTGAGTTTTGTGGTAACTGAAGCTAGTCTATTCCGTGTCTCTGAAGCTTTGTAGTTGAAACTGTTACAAGACTATTTCATCTTGTTGAATGAACATGTCCAACATCCGTTAGTCACCCCGGGATACTGGATATAAAGACCTATCCCAATTATGAAACTCTGTATTGTGGACCTTTTGTGAACATTTCAAAGTGCATGCACAACTTTGGGGAAAACCAATGATAATGTAACTAACTGAAATGAAGAATAAAGGGTAAATGAGTTGGGGATGAATTTAGATCCTAACTATTAAATGGCTCATTTTTTTCTTTCCTTTACTTTTTTTCCCTCCTTTGTTTTCACCTTTTCTCTTTCCTCTTGAAATTTCAATATCTATCTGTTCTTACCCTATTCATAGAAGCATCTGATCCCGATTTCCAGATATAGAATTTAGGATAAATGAGTCTTGTCAGATACAAAAGTACATAGTGTGTGTGTGTGTGTGTGTGTGTGTGTGTGTGTGTGTGTGTGTGTGTAGTCAGATATGAAGGTGAATTTTATTAAGGTAGAATGAGAGCAACAAAACATTCTGCCTCTTCAATAGCTCCCATTTCCTAATGTCTATTACAATTCTGGATCTGTGTTAAAAATATTTATCATAGAGTATTTCCTACCAAAAGTCATCTGGTTGAAATAACATCTGGCATTTACATGGCGTTTAGCAAAGTCAACAAAGTGCTTTAAATACAGGACTTCATTTGAGCCTCAAGTATTCCCATTTTAGAGATGAATAAACTGAGGCAAATAAATGAGGTGGCTTGCCCGTGGTTAAACAACTAAGTATCAGAGGCAGGAATGAAGTCTGCGATTTTTAAGTTGATCTTTATATTAAAATTTAAAATACTATTCTCTCTCTCCCCTCCATATATTTATTTCTCCCTTTAAAAATAGGGATCCTACATCCTCAAACTATCTTCAAGAATCTATCCTGGTAATATTTTTGGATAAATACCTTGTTCTGACTCTCTTAACAGGTTTTACTCCATGTCTCTCCAGTTTGAGTTTTCTTTGCTTCTATAAATCTCCTGCTGCTCAAAGATAACCTCCATCCTTTTACCTAGTAACTTCACTCATTAACTTGGACTGTTTACTTGCTGATGAGATTTAATTCAGACACACCATACAATTAACATTTAAGCTATTCTATAGCATTACTCTGCAAATTATCCTACTTTTTTTTTTTTAGTGAGGCAATTGAAGTTAAGTGACTTGCCCAGGGTCACACAGCTAGTAAGTGTCAAGTGTCTGAGGTTGGGTTTGAACTCAGGTCCTCCTGATTCCAAGGCCAGAGCTCTATCCACTACACTATCCTATTTTATTTTTTAAAGTCAACCTGTAAAATTCCAAACTATCGACAAAGTTAGGTAAGAAAATGTGACAATTAGAAACAGCTAGGTAGTGTAGTGGATAGATTGCTGGGCCGGTAGTCAGGAAGACCAGAGTTCAAATACAGCCTCAGATACTTAATAACTGTGTGAGCTGAGACAAGTCACTCTACTTCTGTTTGCCTCAAAGGAAAAAAAAAACAAACATGACAATTGCTAAGGGAATAATACCCCCTGATATGTTAGAGGAGTTTCTCTATTACAGTTTACTGGATAAATAATTGGTATTTGGAGTGAGGAATAATTGACCTTTAATACTAGTTCAGAAATCATCCTGCATGGCCCTAGACAATTTGCTTAAACTTTCTATATTTGGTTTCCTTATCTGTAAAATGGGGATAGTAATCCTTCAGTCTATTGGTTGCTGTGAGAATAATATGATATAATGTATATGCAGTGCTATGTGTCAGGTATTATTAAAAGAATTAATTAAAAAACTGTTAAGAGACTCAGAAAAAGGAATTTGTCCAAATAAAATTATAAGGATAAATTTTTAAATATAGTTCAAGGATGTAGGATTACTTGTAAAAGAAGGGAAGAAATATATGGAGAAGAAAGAGAAGGACTTTTTAAAATGGAAAATAATTACCATCAAAATTTTATATAAAGATTAGAATTAAAAAATTATGAAGGAATTAAACAGCATTCATTTTATTATGAAACTAAATCATGCAGGATTCAGAGAGAAATGATTCTAGAGATTATGAATATATTAAAAGACTACATTACAAAGCAATGACACAAGAGAATTTATTCCATGCCTTGAAGATTATTAGAACTAGATGAATCTAGAAAATTGATATTGCCTTAGACAATTAAAATACACTGATCTGAACTGTTCTATTTCTCAAATAGAAAAACAAAACAAAAAATGAGCCCTCTCTCTTCTCCTTTGCTTTCCAATGCCCAAACCCATATGCCTCATTATTTAAATTTTTTCATGATTTTGAAATTTAAATTATGTATAGATATTTTCTGTAGAGCAATGTCAGTTTCCCTTCTTGATATTAATCTAAGTCCTTATACTTTCCTATATTCCTCTAAATCAACTCTTTCAAAGTATGTCCTCTCATTGTTACCCTAAAGTTAAATTAGATTCTTGTAGAAGGATTACATAAATGCTATTTTTGACAGGTTAGTATTTTTGCATCTACATTCAATATTTGCTAGTAAACACCTAAATAACATACACACACACACACACACACACACACACACACACACACACACACACACACACACAAGCCACCTCCATAGAGAATTTCAGGAACAAAGCACAGATTTTTCCTCATTTGGTGTCACAACAAAGTTAATAGAAGCCCGACACACCCATCCACCTTTAAGCGACCTTCAAATTTGGATCCTCTCTATACGGTACAATGGGAAGATGAGGGTAAAAAGCCTAAGGGTCTCCAAGAACTCTGCAGAAGGATGTGCTACAATACTTCTCAAAAATAAATATTCTGCCCATAAAATACATTTTTGTTATATCAGGAAAGACATCTACTAACCTTTCCTTGCCCTGCTTGATTGTATCTAAAGAGTATGTCACTCAGAGCCTAATCAGAACTCCACAAGGACTAAGTGTCTCAAATTCAAGGGGAATGATTGCCAGATAGCTTAATTTTCAAGACTAGGGATGGGGGTGGCACATTTTTTTCTTTCAGGAACTGATTGGTTGAGAATCCAGCAATATCCACTCAACTTGATCACCTTTCTTTTTATATATATGGAATATACTCCATTCTAATAATGTTATCCTCAATAGAAATATTACAAGACATGACTCCATAGTAAAAGTACCTGGGTACAAATACCTCTCTGATACTTATTACTCATGTGATATTGGGAAGGTCACTTTACCTGTCTCAGCCTCTGTTTCCACATCTATAAAATAGGCCTAAATTATGTACATATCTTGTGGAATTGTTGTGATCAGATAAATGTAAACCTTAAAATATTCCATAAATGCCATGATGATGATGATGATGTCTTTCCAACACAATTACTTTTTTAAACATGGAATGAACTAGCTACACAAATATTTTTCAAAGACATTTTGTGAGATTAAATACCAATACCGGAGTTCCTATAGTCAAAAGATTTCAGTTCTAATTCCTCCTCTGACTCATATCACTGGTGACACCTTGGACAAGCCATGAACTTTCTTGGACCTCTGTTTCCTCAGATGTAAAGTGACTAGAGGTCCTTTTCACATTTATATCTTTAATCCTATGAAAGGAAGAAAAAAAAAGTTTAGGCATGTGCCAATACTTTCACCCACTATTTCCTCTTGGTAAAAAAAAATCACCTATTATGTACTTTAATTTAAAGCTTCCAACTGATATTTCACATTTTCCTTGTCTCAAACCTCCAGAGCTATTCTCCACCCGTTTACTGAACAGGCAAGGCTTCCCTTGAAGTTGGAAGCAGAAAGTGATGAGGACTTTTAATTAACTAGATAGTTCTATTTAACTTTATCTATGATGAATGTGATTGCTTACACAAGCCAAATGCTGGACAGATGCTGAATGAATAGTACATATCTCTTCATGTCTGCTCCCCACCTGATTCCATATTAAAGTAAGTCACAGTCACGAAGGGAGTAGCTGTCCAGTTTCATGTCAACTGGCAGCATTTTAACCAGTCAGGGGAATTTAATTTGTGATGCAAGTTTTGAGTCTTCTCACTTCCATATAAGCTTCATATGTGTAGGCTCTGTTTCTTATTCTTTTTATCCATATTTCTGAAAACCTTGCATATAACAAGTATTCAACAAATGTTTGTTTAATAAATAAACAAGTGAATGAGTGGTCAAATGACTGACTATGTCCTTGATTATTATGGTGATTCTGTCACTAAAATGCTCTTCTGAATGCATACAAGTCCATTTCACCCAGCTTAACATTATTTATTGACCCTTCTATTCTTGGTAAAACTGTCGAGTAGGTTTTCTCTTCCCTTCTGACCTGTTGCTTACAGGGTCACTGCTGTCTTTCAGGATTATTTTGAGCAAAATATTACAAAACTGTTTTTAAGACATTTATGTAATAGCTTCATGGATTGTACGTAATAAGACAATTTTATTTCCATGTAGCCAATGAAGCATCACATCAGTGCTATCTACTTGATTACCGCCTAATACCATATTTCCGTTTTGAATGAGTTCTGAGTATTGATAATTAGTCTGATTTTCTCCACTCAAGCCTCACAGAATAGCAAAAAATTCCTTTGCAAGGTGTGTAAAGGCTAGGAAAAAAAACAAAAAAAACTTTTCTACTTAAATATCTTTCCATGGGTCAGGGAAGGAATTGGCTTCAAAGTCAAGAAGACCTAGTTTCAAGTCTTGCGTCTAACACATAGGGTCTTTGTCACCATAGTCAAGACATTTATTCAATGAACATGTACTAAATGCTTAACTATAAGCCAAGTGTCATATTAAATATTGGGTATGCAAAGAAAGACAAAATTACCAAAAGCAAAATAAACAAATAAAATGGTCCTTATTTTCCATGAGACAACATTTTAATGGAAAGTGTCAACATGCAAATAACTACGCACACAATATGTTTGTATATGCATATATGCATATATTTATAATGAAAATGGAAAGGTAATATCAGAGAGTAAGGACTAGGGAAGGGGGAGAGACTGGGAAAGCATGCCTGTAAGAAAGTGAGATTTGAGCTGAGGGTTGAAGGAAGCTAAGGAATAGAGATGGTTGCATTGTGGTAGGGTGGTGGGGTGGGGACAATCAATGCAAATGCGGTGGTGGTTGTTGTCTTTCATTCTCTAAGAGGATCAAAATGATATCACTATGCTTGAGTCAAGTTACAATATGTCCGACTGTGGC